CAGTCCCAGGCCCCAAGACCTACACACCTCACAGGCTGGGCAGCAGCCCCAGGCCCTGCCCTAGCTCCCTCCCTCCATCATTATGGGGGCCTCAATCCACCTGTCCCACCTGCCACTTGCTACTTGCTCCTCCTGTCACCAAACCCTCCCCCCCACAAGCCATTTACCTTCTGTGGCAGCTCTAGCACTGGCTTTGGCACAGTCAGCAGTAGTGGTTAAAACCCAGACCAGCCCAGCCTGGCCAGACAGAAGCAGTGGTGGCAGGTCTGGGCCTGATCGGGCTGCATCAGAGCCAGAGGCAAAGGTACGTGGTGGGGGAAGGACAAGGAGGTGTAGTAACCCCCACATACTTTCCTGAAGCCACACACTATGCACCCCCCACAAACCCCATGGACACCTTTTCTGCCACACAAGCCACCCTGACACAAAGAGGTGGCAGCACTGCTCCAGCTTCAGTCCCAAGCCCAGAGCCAGGGCCACAGCATTCACCTTCCCCCAGGCAGTACTCACATCCAAGACGAGGCTTTTTCCACCCCCATGTTGAATGGTGGGGGGAAAAAAACTTGTCTTGGATTCAAGTAATTTTCCACATGGAAAATAATCAGTATGAGCATGATGCATATAAGCAAAGTCCAAGGCATAGATAAAACTTCCAAATCATACATTCAACAGGCAGAGTATACACTGTAAGAACAGCTGGGGGTGGGGGGGAAGGTACATTTGAAACCATCGGAAACAAAGGAAATATAGTTTCTAGTTTCTAGGGTCAGAAGGGACCTGAGAAGATCATCTAGTCCGACCCCCTGCCATGGCAGGAAAGAGTGCTGGGGTCAAATGACCCCAGCAAGGTGTTCATCTAACCTCATCTTAAAAACCCCCAGGGTAGGAGCCTGCACCACCTCCCTTGGAAGTTGGTTCCAGACCCTAGCCGCCCTGACCGTGAAATAGTGCCTTCTGATGTCTAACGTAAATCTACCCTCTGCTAGCTTGTGACCGTTGTTCCTGGTCACTCCTGGCTGTGCTCGGGGGAACAGTGACTCCCCCAATGCCTTCTGATCCCCCCTGACCAGTTTGTAACAGGCCACAAGATCCCCCCTCAGCCTTCTCTTGTGGAGGCTGAACAGGTTCAGGTCCCGTAGTCTCTCCTCATAGGGCCTGCCCTGCAGTCCCCTGATCATGCGAGTGGCCCTCCTCTGGACCCTCTCCATGCTGTCCACATCCCTCTTGAAGTGCGGCGCCCAGAACTGGACGCAGTACTCCAACTGTGGCCTGACCAGTGCCGCATAAAGGGGGAGGATCACCTCTCTGGACCTGCTCGAGATGCATCTGTGGATGCATGACAAGGTACGGTTGGCCTTCCTAACTGCCTCCCCACACTGCCGACCCATGTTCATCTTGGAGTCAATGATGACTCCAAGATCCTTTTCCGCCTCCGTGCTGACAAGAGGGGAGTTCCCTAACCTGTAGGTATGGTGCCGGTTGTTCCTCCCCAGGTGCATCACCTTGCACTTGTCTGTGTTGAAACCCATCCTATTCTCATTCGCCCACCCTTGTAACCTGTCTAGGTCAGATTGTAGCCTGTTGCTTCCTTCTAGTGTGCCCACGTCCCCCCACATCTTAGTGTCATCAGCAAATTTGAACAGGGTGCTTTTTACCCCCTCGTCCAAATCACTGATGAAGATGTTGAACAGTGCGGGCCCGAGGACCGAGCCCTGGGGAACCCCACTGCCCACGTCCTTCCAGGTTGAGAAGGACCCATCCACTACCACCCTCTGGGTGCGGCCCTCCAGCCAGTTGGCGACCCATTTGACTGTGTGGGTGTCTACGCCACAGCCCCCCAGTTTCTTAATGAGAACGGGGTGAGAGACAGTGTCAAAAGCCTTCCGGAAGTCCAGGAAGACTATGTCCACTGCTACCCCTGCATCTAATGATCTGGTGATCTGATCATAAAAGGCCACCAGGTTGGTCTGACAGGACCTGCCACTGATGAACCCGTGTTGGTTGCCCCTAAGCATGCAGTCCCCTGCTGGCCCCTCCTGGATGTGTGCCAGAATAATTTTCTCGAACAGCTTGCCTAGGATCGAGGTAAGACTAACTGGCCTATAGTTTCCCGGGTCCTCCTTCCTCCCTTTTTTGAAGATTGGAACCACACTGGCCCTCTTCCAGTCCTCCGGCACCTCTCCAGTGCACCACGAGTGCTCGTAAAGCCGCGCTAGGGGTCCTGGAATGACCTCAGCCAATTCCTTTAATACTCTAGGGTGGAGATCGTCCGAACCCGCTGACTTGAATACGTCCAGTCCCTCCAGAAGCTTCCTAACAAAGTCCTCGCTAACCCTTGGCCCAGGTGTGCCTCCCCC